CTTCCGGTTTGACAACTAATTTCAATTTCATTCCTTTAACTTACAAGCGCAGTCCTTTTTTGGCCACACCTTTTTCTAACACCTGAGGTGTTTCTGATTAGGTTCATCCAATACTGTGATTAAGTCCAAAGCCAATTTATTTTATTTTATTGTTTGCAGCAAAAGTTACTGATCTACTATTACAGATGAAAACAGTAAATGAAACTTTAGTGGTCCCTTAGAAACTAAGTGGGGGGGGGGGTCTACATGCTGTATGGTGTATTTTGGGCCATTTGAGGGCTCTAGATATTTAGATTATCTACTGCTAGAATGAATAGAAGATTTTTGTCTAATTTTCCAGTTTAATTTATGATACAATGATTAAAATTACAGACTAGTCAACATACAAATGGCCCCCCGGTCATTCCACGAAACATTTAGACAGTACTTTTAAATGCAATGACTAGACAATTAAGTACAAATTCATCACTTCATAAAATATTGAGACAATATTTGTAAAAATAAGTTTCCACTAGAACAAATTACTGACCAATCATTTACAAACTGATTTTTTTTAAATGGCAGGTACAGACACATTGATAATTTTTCTGAAAAACACAAGCAGACAAAATTACATTTGAGTTGACTGATGTCACATGTGTCTGAAGGTCCCTAGTCCCACAGTTTTGTTCTTTCATGTATGACTTATGATTTGTTTGTTATGAATTTTGGGCAAAGCTACACAAGGGCTATCTGTACTAGTCATCCCTAATTTAGCAGTGTAAGACTAGAGGGAAGGCAGCTAGTCATCACCACCCACCACCAACTCTTGGGCTACTTTTTTACCAACAAACTGACAGTCACATTGTAATGCCCCCACGGCTGAAAGAGCAAGCATGTTTGGTGTGACAGGATTCAAACCCACAACCCTCAGATTGCAAGTCGTGCACCCTAACCATCTGGCTATGACAGGCACTTACGATTTGAAAACTATTCTGGAATCTGTAATGCTTAATACACTTGTAATATGTTTTTATTGTAAATAAAAAGTCCTTCAACATTAAAAACAAAAGAATTTTATGTATATTTGCTTCCCCCAATCTTTATCAGAAATGTTTAACCTCTGTCAATGAAGGCTATCTAAACGATTTCACATATTCACAGTTCATTCACTGACTTACAAGTAGAAGGTTCATTCACTGATTTACATGATACTGACCTACCCTCCTGAACTAATCATTCTACAGATGTACAAGCTATTGAGTCAATCAGAGTTAAAGATTAATTATTCTTATTTCTGAACTACAAGATATTGATTTATTCTTCAGATCTATAATCTACTACTGGTATTTCCTTCTGTTTTAAAATGAGTTCACCTGTTCTTCTAATCTAGAAGCCAATGACCTGTTTTTCTAATCTACAAGTCATTAACTCCAATTACAGTTTAATGATTTACCTTTCACATAAATAACTTTCTTTTGATATAGTTATTAGAATATTTCTGCAATTTATTCAAGTTATTAAATCATTATTTTAATCTTTAATTAACAAACCTTTAAATGTGATTTACATATTAAAAAAACCAATAACTTCAAACCATAGTCTATATACATGTTTTTGTATATTACTTTACTGTATGTGTTATACAAATCCTACACTACATTGTAGTGTAATTTTTAAAGACATTACAAGAGCATCTTATCAATAATTAACCAGATAATTAAATGTAACAGTTAATTTTTGCAACTGGAATTTTTTAGTACAAGGATAACATTAATTCTCACATCAATACTTCACACACAATAATCCCACCTCTCCTATAAATTATCATCTTCAGTCTTGGTGGTTTCATCTTGCAGAGCAACTCTAGAGGGACTATTATGAAGAGAACTGCCTTTTCTGTTGAAAACAAAACAACAATAAACCATCCACTTTCTAACTGAATAATCTTAAAAAATATTTGGAATGAGAAAATTTAAAAAAAGCACCTAGTATATAATTCAATATAAATACTATCATGTTATAAAGAATAAATATGTAGTGGACAGTATAATTGTGGCTTCATACAACAGTGTATAATAATGGCCATGAGCTTGAGAACCATCAACAGAGGACAGCATTGGATATTGAACATTGGGCTTCACATTAATCATTTTTAAATACGTAACATCAGCATTATTCTGTGGACTGTTTATTGTGACATAATCAGCATATATGCAATGTTTAGGGACAGTTTGTTGTGTGGCATCATCCTTGTGCTTGCATTGTTTTGGAGACTATTGTATGACATTATTGTGACTACAATGTTTGGAAAAATTGAATGTCCAAATATCTCTAGACTTCAAACTGTAGTATTCTGGGTTGTTAAAAACTCGTGGTTAATCCATTAACTCAATTGGTAGAGCACTTGTTTATTATGCTCAGAATCTCAGGTTTGATCCGAGCTCAGGAAATGCATAAAAGATACTAGTATATGTGATATAGGAGTACATCACGTTTCCTCTTTCTTTAGTATTGCTACTTATTCTGAATTTATTCTTTGTTTTGAATATGTGCAGGCTTTTACATAACACATGGTCAAAAAAAGTCATTAAGGAGATCTTGTTGTAAGTTAACTTTGTTCCTGTGTCATCCTCAAAGTCAGACTGTCCTGTTACAGCCCAAAGTTAGATGTATCCTAATGTATCCTCCTACAGCCCAAAGTTAGATGTATCCTGCTACAGCCCATAAAGAACATTGTTACATGCAACCTTATTTCAGGATGTAGGGAGCAATGCCCTTATTAGTTGTACAGGTAATACTTAGTGTGGGAGATCGAGCTTAGTGGAGTGCGTTGGCAACATAAATTTTGCGAAATACATCAAAATATTGGAGGAAGGACTCTTGCCACTTTATTCCTCGGGTTTCATGGACAAGAACA